CAAACATCTGGTTCGAACCGGTTATATGCGAACTTATATTTACTCAAAAAATCGGTGCTCACCCTCGGAAAGGCAGTCTAACCGTTCATGGGTATGTCTTTCGATGGCAGTTCTACCGAATGTCTGAAGTTATTTTCGCGATGGACCACTTTTTTTGTTGATTTTTGGTGCCTTCATTGAAACTGTCAGCCCTATCAGTGCACCCGTTCACTTGAAGCGTCTTAGATGCCTTTCTTGGGTTCTCTATTCCGTTATAATGCTTGCAGAGCTCAATTCCAACTGTTGATAGCTTTTTTTGATGGATTAAATTAAAAATTACTTCTAAATTTGACCTGCGAGGTAATCAGAATACGTTCTTGTTGGCTGTCGCCACTTTCTTCGAAAAAAAAGGAAACCAAAGTTCCACTGGTGGCTGAATCACTCGACAAATTGGATGGGGTTGGTATGAAAACGTCATGTTTCGATTTCAAGTTCATCGCAATTAATGACAGTATACAATTGTAATGAGCAGTAGCAGTGTTACCTTTTCGGATAAGAAGTTTCAAACCCATCCATTACCCTAAAGCCTTCACTCAAGACCTCCAACCGACCTTTAATACAAGTCATCTTGCTCAAACAGAGAACACAAAGAATACGCGCTTCGTCTTTTTTTTCCGTTTATGGCAGAGAAACTTAATTAGATTAGAAAGCGTTTGAGGGCGAATATAGCGTAAACTCTTGAAACAAAAAATACATGAAAAAAGCAAGGAGACCCAACTATTTCTCATTTTTTTTCACTGTTTTCGTAGTTTTTTTCTTTCACTGCCGCCACTCTCACCTCCACATTACGTTTTATTGTTCGTGTTCTTTCTCAAGAATTCATTGCTACTTTGGCTCGTTTGCTTGAATGCGAAAACTTCTGACGAACCCTTCTCTTTAGAGCTTCACTATTCATTATTCATTATTTGGATTTCTAGCCCATTTTTTGCCTCGTCAACTTGATTTTGGTAGAACTCGATCGTTATGTATATGCCTCCTAATGTCAGCTTATTATGCTCTGCCTTCAGAGCTAGCAGTATAGCTTAAGCATTGGAAGAGACCTTTCATCACATCTAACGTTTCGTAAGTATTTCACCGTTGGATTAAGCCAAACTCACAATATAGAATTTGCTAATAGAAATATGTATACCACTTTCTACAATATATTTTTGCACATACATATGTTATATGGTCAAGGGCGGAGGTGACGGTCGTGTTCAGGGGAGGGGGTTCAATCCCTGCTCGACATCTGTCTAAGCCATCCAAGGCTTCCATCTCTCCTCTCCGGGTTCGGTTGATTGGCAATACATTGGTGTCGGAGGATGAAAGCGCTGACTTGTTCATCGGCTGCTCACCGCAAGTCCTGCATAGGCAACACACCCACACCACGATTCTGAATGGAAGTCGAATGCGAGGGCGCATCCCTCAGAAGGGATTGATCCACGCCACCTTATATTCTTTATGTCATATGGCCAAGCTTTCATCGAGTGTAATGAAGTTTTCCAGCATATTCTCGATTATCCCTGATAGATCTGTTGAGGCCACTGTCGTCCTAGAAGGTTGAATACGTTATTCTTCATCCATACATCTTCATCGAACATTGTTCATCCCTTTGTTAGACGCTTGAATATCATTCTATAATATTTTTCGTACTATATCGTGTGAGTGCTGATTTAAGTTTCTATAGGCTAATACACCACCGAGCAAAAACAACGCATAGTAACATCAAAAAGTTTCCGAAAGCTATGGAAGCTATGCAGACTTTTACTCCCTTTTGATTGATTGATTCGTTCATTTGAGCATTTGTGGCTCGTCAATTTGGAGACGATAGGAATATAAATCATCCATATATATCATGTCATCCATCCTATATCATCCATGAGGGCCTAACTTTGTGTGTCTGTCTGTATTATGTCTGTTGTGTGCCAGTCCGCACAAAGTCACGTAGGCGTGGTTAGTTCTGTGAAATGTCACGTAGGCGCGACCAGGATGGTGTCATTAAATGGGAACTCCCTACTTTTTGGATGATTTTTCTTCGGTTCCTTTCAATCAACGAACGATCAGACCTTTAAAAGGAACAGAGGTTGGGTGAGAAAACTTATACAGTGGCATCAGCCATCCTCAGACGCTCTCTTGACTATTTTCGATTTTCCACTATCACTTCGGATGCGCGATTTCCTTCACTTGAACTCAAGCGAAATTTTGAGTGTAATTTTGTCTGATGACTGCGCACCTAAAAGAACCCTTTACTTTCAAATACTTCACTCTGTACCCGTCATTTCCAGAAATGAAACTTAAGCGGATTTGGGTGAAGCACGCGAGTTAGCGTGCGTAGCCCAACCGGAAGAAAACTAAAGGATCACGATCTCCTTTAGATTTCTTCCGGTTGGGAATTAGAATAAACAGCACCCGAACTGACCTCTGGCACCTTCTTGCGATCTCCTCGTCCAGCTGTAGTCTCGTTTAATTACATTTAGGGACTTTGCTGGTCTC